TCAGGGTTTCTTCATTTTTCTTTGTTTTTTTTCCTCTGATTTTTCCTCAAACAGAGTTGTATCCAAGTGTTTGTCTTCAGTGTCTCTGATCCTATCTTCCATCATTTCAACCCTGCTCCTCAGCTCTTGTATGACATTGTCCATTTGTGAAATTTTGTTGTTTATCTTTAGGATTTCTAATTCTTGTTTTTTAATGATTTTTAGTCATGAGTTTATTTTACATTTTGTTCCTACATTATTTTCTTGAGTTGTCCCATTTTTTTGTCTACATTTTCCATGAATTTGTCTAGTTTTTCCTCATTTTTATCTTCTTTTTGCTCTTGGATAATTTTGAGTATTAGAGATTTGAATTACTTATCAGTTAGGTCTAGTGCCTTTTCTTCTACTAGAAAGTCATCTGGTGTTTTATTTTGGATGTCTACTGGAACCATCCTGTCCTGTTTTTGTAAATGTTTTGATATTGTATGCTATCTTTGGGGCATTCAGTGGTTATTTTCCTCATTTATTGATTGTAGATTTGTTTGTTTCGTCCTGCTTTTTTATTTTATTTGGCTATGTCTGAGCAGGCGGGCTGTGTGTTCTTTGTTGCTTGCTCGTCTGTGGGCGTGATACTTTTCACCTCCTTCTCCAATGGGCAGGTTTAGTCACTCAGGTGTGGTACAGCAGGGCACGTCCAGATGAAGGGGAGTTGCTGGGATGGGTTTTTTGTGGCACGTACTAGGGCTGACAGTGCGGCCTGGGAATCAGTGCTGGGCAGGTTCCAGTAGGCTGTGCCTGTGCTGCTTGGGAGTGTGATGTTCAGCACATGGTGCAGGTAGGCAGGAAGGAAGGGTTGGATTGTGATGTATGGAACTAAGATAGGTATGGGAAAGATGAGAGAGAGGAGATAGGAACAGGAGCCAAAAATATACAAACAAACAAAAAAAAGTGCTAGGGGAGCTTGCCTTTGGAGTGGAGGGATGAGAGACTATGAAATGGAGAAAAACAAAAAGGGGAAGAAGAAGAAAAAAGAAAAGAATGAATAAATAAAAATTAGAAAGAAAAAACAACAGCAGAGCTCCCAGGGATCCCACCGGTGTGGCTACGAGGTCTGGGGAAGTTGTTCCCAGGTGTTGAAGTACAGCCTGGCTAGGAGGCGTAGAGGTTTTCAGCGCCAGGTATTCAGGGGACAGGAAGAGAAGGAAAATATAGAGAGATGAGAAACTGAGTAATGAAGAAAAACAAAAAGGGAAAAAGAGAGAAAAGAAAACAAAACAAATTTAAAAAAAAGAAGAAAAAATATCCCCCAAAAAGGAAAAAAAGAAATGTTCTCAGGGATCCCTCTGCGCGTCTGCGCAAGCTGAGGGGGTAGGTCCCAAGCCGCGCAGCACTGCCTGGCCAGAACAAGCTCCCAACTTGAGAAAAGAAAAAGAAAACAAACAATACAAAACAAACGAACAAAAAAGCCCCAGGATCCCACCAGCGTGGTAGCACAGACCAGGAAGCAGTTCCACACGCAAACAGAGCTCCACAGCCCGTCAGGAAGTAGCAAAGATGGTGCATGGGGCCAGGTATTTGAGCGAAAGAAGGGGAAGGTGGTGAGAGGCAAGGAAGAAATCAAAAGAAGCAGAAAAAAGCAACACCAGCAGCCAACAAATGACACTCAGGGAGTCGGCCAGTGCAGACAGGTGGAAGCCAAGCAACTGGTGCTTCCTGGCCAAGAGACTGGCTGCTGGAAGCAGAGGAGGCCAAGTGGGGGTGAAGAAGGGTGGGAGGTGGGAAAGCGTATATCTCCAGTTAATGGTTGTTCTGTCTCCTGCTGGAAGCTCCATGAAGCTGCTCTCTCGTACCCCCTATTTGCTGGTCTCTGATAGGAGTCCAAGATGGTGGATCTGTGCTGCGTTAGCTGATAGGGGACCTCTCCATGTATGTCTCCTCGCTCTCTGTTCTCTGTCAGTTTCTTATTCCATTTGGTGCTTGGCTGAGTTCTTTATCTCTTCATTTGATGTTTTAGGGTTTCAGGATTGCTGTTTTCTCTGTTTGGCTTAGTTTTTTGGAACTTTGTTGTGGAGGGACGGCATGGTGCTTCTGCCTAGAGCACCATTTTGCTGGAAGTCCAATGGCTGAATTTTTGGAAGTAGATCACTAGGCCTTTCTTCTGAGGTTCCTCTGGGTGGATTTGAACCTCCAACCTTTCAGTTAGCAGCTGAGCATATTAACTGTTTGTACCACCCAGGGACTCCAAGAATTCTTTATAAGATACCCTTTATCAGACTTAGGAGGCATTCTTTATTCCTAGTTTGCAAAGAATTTTTAATCATTAATGATGTTGAATTTCACCAAGTGTTTTTCTGCATTTCTTAAGACAATCGCATGCCTTTTCTCATTTATTCTGTTAATGTGGTAGATTACCAGATTAAAAAAAATGTTAACACAACCTGGCATTTTTGGAATAAATTTACCTTGTTCATAATGTACTATCCATTTTGTATATTGTTATATTTTATTTTCTAACATTATTTAGGATTTTTTGCATCTATATTCACAAGGTACATTGCTTGTTGTTTTCCTTTTTTGTGATGTCCCTGTTAGGTTTTGATATCAAGGGATTGCCCACCTCATAAAATGGGCTGAGAGGTGTTCCTGTCTTCTCTATTCTGTAGAAATTCGGCGTTCTTTCTTTCTTACGTGTTTGGTAGACATTACTATTAAGACCATCTGGGCCTGGATTTTTCTTCATGGGAACATTTTAAAATTACAGATTAAATTTTTTTTAATACTTACAGGACTATGCAGATTTTCTAGTTTATCTTGTACCAATTTTTGATAAGTTTTCTTTTTCTAAACATGTATCCATTTTATCTGTTTTCATATTTTTTGATATAAATTTGTTCATACTGTCTTTAATGTCTGTAGTGTCTAGAGATTTTCATCTTCTAACTTCTGACATTGTTTACCTGCCAATTTCAGGGATTTATCAGTTTTTTTGTCTTTTGAAAGAACAATCTTTTGACTTTGTTGATACTCTCAATTGTATGTTTGTTTACTTTTCAACTACTTTTTGCTGTTTATTTCTTTCAACTTAAAAAATTTTTTTTTTCTCTAATTTCTTGAGGTTGAGGCTTAAATCACTAACTTCCAGTCGTTTTTGAGTATATGCATTTAAAACCATATATTTCCTTCTAAGCGTAGCTTTTCCTAAGCATCACATGGGTTTCAGACTTTCTGTCTCTGAGGTCTGTCCATTATACCATCCTGATGCAGTGTTGCATTTTTGTGTGAGAAGAGCATGACCATCCGACCAATAGAATCTATAGCCTTTGGGTGGGTGAGTATGACAGAAAGTTTATATTTGAGTGGAAGTGGGAGAGGGGTTACATGTAATATCAAATTTCATTCTCAAAAGTGATTATTTATTAAGAGGATAAGATGAATGTTAGAAGAATAGGGCATTTAAAAATAATTTTAGACTAAAGGAAGACTGGTATCTCTGAGGAAAAATGGACAGTTTGATATGACAGGTTTTTATAAGGATCATCTTTAAGATGAGATTTTTTGGTTCTGGAAGTCAAAGGGAAAAATGTCTTAGACATTTAAATAAATCCCATGTCAGATCAAATGTTTGTGTTATATCTTGGTATTTATAAAACACACATCAAAAATATTTAGTGTGTGATTACATTAGCATTAAAAATGTCACGTTTTACAGAAATCAGTGCATCATTTTTCTAATAAAAAATTTGACACAAGATCCAGACTCATTTTGCAGTCGTATGGTGACTTTTATTACAGATCTTTACCATATTGGATAATGAGATATTTGGCCTATAATTGGCACTTTAGTCTTATAGGAAAACAGCCAATCTACTTGAAGTACGTAAACAAATAATTTGGTACTTTAATCCATACTGGCAATAAAAATATCTCTAATTTGTCTTTTTTGTAGAAAATTTTCGCTACTGGAGATATCAACAAAGATGGGAAGCTGGATTTTGAAGAATTTATGAAGTACCTTAAAGACCATGAGAAAAAAATGAAATTGGCCTTTAAGAGTTTGGACAAAAATAATGATGGTGTGTCTTTTTTTTTTTTTCCTATTTATCACCAGCTATGAAGAAGCACTTCGCATGCCTTTGAAGTCTAAAATGGCACATATTTGGCCTCTTTGTTTTTAGATGATAATTTTGTGCTAATACTTGTTTTTCTTAGTAATGTGATTTTTATATAGAGTTTATATTTTTTAATGAAGAAAACTTATAGATGACTTTGTCCACTGAATTAAAAACTGCGGGTAGGGATTTTTGTAAAATTTTAACTATTGAATGTTATGCTGATTTGACTTGAAACTTTGTGTTAAAAATAATAATTATGTTTCGTTGCTCTTTGGGCAAGAGAGGTTTATTTGTCTGTATATAGACATGAATATTATATATTCTAAAATTATACGGAAACCTTTCAGATTATCTTATATTTGATAGTCTTTTTGAAAGAATTAGTTTTAAGAAGATACTCTCTGATCCTGAAAATTAGGGAAGAAAATTACGTATAGATGTCTAAATATGTATAGTCTGGTTAGGATTAAGGTAACTCTATTTAGACTAATAGCTGGGAGTCAGAGGTCTGGTTGTGTAGATCAAAAAGCAAGGATCACAGTAGGAGAAAGGGAGGAGTCATGAAACCCTCACCACCAGAGAGAGCCTTTTATGTGAAGAGGGAATTTATTTAAATAAAGGTAGCCTCTAAACCCATCCTACTTAAGAATAGTCATGGCCATTCTATTCACAGACTTCTTATTCAAAAAACAAGTTAAATAAAGTGAGACAAAATTTGGTTTATACCAGGAATAGGCAAACTTTTTCTATAAAGGGCCAGATAGTAAATATTTTAGCTTTATGCGCCATGCATTCTCTGTTGCAATACTCATCTTTCCGGTTGTATCTTAAAAGCAGCCATAAACAATATGTAAATCAATGGACATGGTTATGTTCCATAAAACTTTATTTAGAAAAACAGACAGTGGGCCTGGTTTGACTCAAGGATTATATTTGCTGGCCTCTGGTTATACTGAACATTAACTTCAGTTGGAATCAAAGCAAATTTCTTCAAACAGCTAAACCCTTTGAATGGTTTTGATGAGTTTTCAAGTCTGTGATTCTCAGCCAGGGAGAGCTGAGTTTGTGATGGAAAAGAGTACTGTTGGGACATTTGTTGTCTCTCATAAGCCTTGTATGGTTGTTGTTAGGTGCTGTCAAGTCGATTTCAACTCATAGTGACCCCTTGTGTTAAAGAGTAGAACTGCGCCATTGGGTTTTCTAGGCTGTAATCTTTACGAGAGCAGATGGCCAGGTCTTTCTCCTGCCTAGCCACTGGGTGGTTCTAACTACCAACCTTTTGGTAAACAGCTGAATACTCTTAACCCTTGCACCATCAGGGCTGCTTAAGCCTTATATTACATGTCCCCAACACTAGCCTTAACTTCAGTCTTCTTGGAAAATCCAGTTCCTACAATCAATTTTCCTACTTTTGCACAAACTTTCACCCTGGGCCCTCTACAGTTCAGTTTCAGAGATGTCTCTGTACAGTTAGGAGACAGTAAGTAGGAGATGGGGCACCTCAGAATCATCTGCCAGATGATTAGAGGTCAGCTGTCCCAGTACTTAAGTTGGGTACACATCAGTTGTCCATTTCAGATAATTCTAAATGAACCAGTGGAAATAATTAAAGATGAAATTTTAGTGATAAATTTGTAGTAAATGCAAACAGTTTCCCCTTAAGAAAGTCAGCAGTTCGAATCCACCAGCCTCTCCTTGGAAACCCTATGGGGCAGTTCTACTCTGTCCTTTAGGGCCGCTATGAATCAGAATGGACTTGATGGCAGTGGGTGGTGTATATTTTAAAACAGTTTCCCATTATAGGTTCATATTTTTATTGATCAACCTTCCTTAAAGCAAAGCATGTACCTCTGTAAGAGTGAAGTTCTAAAGGAGAACATCCAGATTAGTATTTAAAGAATCTCATTGCTAACAGATGGATGCCTCCAACTCTCCTTGCACTGTCCACAGTCTCATGCTGCTCCTTTCCTCTCCCCCAGGAAGATTCTTTCCAAATCCTGCTATTTCTTCAAGGTCCTTCCCTTAAATAAAGTCCTTCTTCCTTTCACTAATAACTAATAGTGATTTCTGTCTTCCTGGAAAGCTTTGCCATTAATACTGGTTTGGCACCAGACCCTCTATTACTTTTTTTTGTTTCATGCATATTAGTCTTATAATCCCCATCAATTTATGAGCTGCTTAAGGGAAATACAATATTACTTATATTTTCTTTCTTCTTATCCTCTTATTTTTCTCCTTCTGTTTACAAACGTGCTCTAATTTCCTTAATCCTAATAATTTTTTCCTCTTCCACTGTCCTTCTACCCCAGCTCTCTTTATTTTTACTACCAGATTTCTCAAAAGGATTGTCCAGACTCTTTGGCTCCATTTCCTCATTTTCTACTTTCTCTTTAACCCAGTACAATATGACTTTATACATAATAAGTGTCCAGTTAATATTTATTAAAATGTAGAACTGCCTACTTTAAAAATTAATAGATCCTAGTTTAATTGAATTTTCCACAGAGTCAGAATATCTTGATTTGAGTCTCTCAGCTCTGCCACTTCTTGATTATGTTACTTGGCAAGGCCACTTAAAATCTGTCCCTTTTTTTTCTCAAAATGAATAGTATTATTTACCTATAAGGCTGTTGTGATTGTTAAATGAATAATGTGTGTATCCTTGTTTAATGTATTTGTTAAATGGTAAATACTGATGTTGCAATATGTGTTAAGCAAATCCATAGCTCACTTAATTGCATAATTTTGCTTCATCACTTCAGGGCTTTCACTTATAAAATGAGGGATTTAAAATTTGTGATTTCTAAAGCCCTTATCAGTTCTGAGTCTGAGTTTATGATCTTTTCATATTTTTAAAGGGAAAATTGAGGCTTCAGAAATTGTCCAGTCTCTCCAGACACTGGGTCTAACTATTTCTGAAAAACAAGCAGAGTTGATTCTTCAGAGGTAAGCTCTTTATCGTATTGACAATTGTCTTTTGGCTTTGGTTTTAATATCCTGCATTAGAGATTTATGTTTGTAAGTGTGGCTTTTATACAGCTCCCTACACCGCATCATTCCTTATTATGCACATCCAACATCTTTCTTTCCTTTTCATTTTGTATGTACACATTCATCTAAAGTGTGTTGTTAGTGTGTCCTGTAGAGTCGATTTTGATGCATAGTGACCCTATATAATAGAGTAGAGCTTCCTCATACGGTTTTCTTTATTTACGGGAGCTGATTGCCAGGTCTTTTCTCCTGCAGGACTGCTGGGTAGGTTCGAACCGCTGACCTTTTGTTAGCTGCTAAGCGATTAACCATTGCGCCACCAAGATGACCCTATAGGACAGAGTAGAACTGCCTCATAGGGTTTCCAAGGAGCTGCTGGTGGATTCAAACTGCTGACCTTTTGGTTAGCTAGCCGATTGCTTAACCACTGCACTACCAGGGCTCCTTAGCTAAAGTGTAGGAATGGGAAATGTACGCCCAGACCAGATTATTTCTTGCAAGGTCACAAGGAGCAGTGGAATGGCAGTAAGGTGTTAAATCCGTAGGTGAGGACCTAAGAGTTTTGGTGTTGCCCTTTCCCTCTCATTTGGTCCCTAATGTGACAGTAGAACACACTGTTTCAGGATAAGGAGGCTAGCAGGTTCTTCACATTGTTTAACCTATGCATGACCAGATAAGAGGGGGATTCCTGGCTAGCAGAGGAACAATTTGAATGTTATTACCCGGGACAATCAGCTCATCTATTAGTAAGTCAGACCTTTACAGATGTAAGATTTTATTTCACCAGATACAGCAATAATCTCTGAAGTCCAGGCGCCTTAAAAAACTCTTTTGTTACAAACACTGCAGTGACCAATTTTTTATGGTGACAGAAAACAGGCAAAGACAGTAGTACTCTTGTGGGTGTTTGTAATCTTCAACATTATCTAACAATTCTCTTCTAAATGGCTTTATTGTCTGATTTATCTTCTTTTATATCTGTTCCAGGAGCATTTTTCTCTTTTCTAACTGTTCAGAATTTCTTTTATAAGCAGGTGCTCAGTAGGAGGGCCTGAAGCCTCAAGGCTGAGCACGGAGTTGCATTTGTTAGCCCTGGATGAGAAAGGGTTTCCCGAAGAAATGAAAAGCAAAAATATGAAAAGGAGATAAACAGAATTTTCACAGTGGGATAGGGGACATGTAATATTCTGCTTGTAAAGACACATTCTTCCTGTAAAGTGAAGGTTTTTGTCTAATTCTAAGGCCAGAAATCATATGCCTGTGTATTCCCTTTGATGGTTTTAGAGATAATGCAGATTCCAAGCTGGAGCTTCATAATATACCAAGGGTAATACAGAGGGATGAAGCTTTAAAAGTAGCTACACACACACACATATGTATTTTATGACACTCTTATTGAAATATAATCCCATAACGTCCACTCTTTAAAATGTACAATTTGGTAGTTTTTAGTATATTCACAGAATTCTGAAACCATCACCACTGTCTAATTTCAGAACATTTTCATCACTCAAAAATAACCCCATACTCATTAGCAGTCACTCCTCACTCCTCCTCTCCCCATCCTTTGGCAATTACTAGTCTACTCTAGGTCCTACTCTGGGCATTTAGTATAAATAGAACCATACCGTATGTGGCCTTTTGTTTCTGGCTTTTTTCGCTTAGTATGATGTTTTCAAGGTTCATCCATGTTGTAGCATGTATCGGTGTTTCATTTCTTTTTCTTTTTGGCTGACTAATAGTCCATTATATACATACATTATATACATACACACACACACACACACACACACACACTTATATCTATGTATGTATATGTATGTATCTCAAATTTTGTTTATCCATTCATAAGTTGATAGACATGTGGGTTGTTTCTACTTTTTGACCTTTATGAATAATGCTTCTATGAACATTCATATCCGAGATTTTGTATGAACATGTGTTTTCATTTCTCTTGGGTATATACTTAGGAGTACAATTTCTGGGTCATGTGGTAACTCCAGGCATTGTTTCGTTCTGTTGTACGTAGGGTCACTATGAGTCAGAGCTGACTCGGCAGCACCTAACAACAACAACAACAACAACCGTGTTTAACATTTTGAAGAATTGCTGAACTGTTTTACAAAGTGGCTTCGCCATTTTACAGTCCTACCAGCTATGCATGAGGGTTCCAATTTCTCCACATTCTCACCAACACTTGTTATTGTCCATTCTTCTGATTTTAGCCATCTTAATGGGTGTGAGGAGTCCTGGTGGTGTAGTGGTTAAGTGCTCAGCTGCTAATCAAAAGGTCAGAGGTATGAACCCATCAGCTGCTCCGTGGGAGAAAGGTGTGACAGTCTGCTTCCGTAAAGATGTACAGCTTTGGAGACTATATGGGGACAGTTCTCTGTCCTGTAGGGTCACTATGAGTTGGAATTGACTCAAAGACAATGGATTTTTTTTTTTTTTTTGGTTTAATGGGTGTGAAGTAGTATCTGCTTGTGCTTTTGATTTACATTTTCCTGATGACTAATGAATTGTAGATCCTTTTGTACTGTTGGGCTTTTATTATTATCATGGCTAGGTAATCAGACTATAAGAGAGGAGTTACGTAGTTGAAATACAGCCTCCAAATTTCATCTTTTCAGTAGAAGCTGTGGGTGGGGAGTAGCTGAAACAGGCAATCCCTCCCAATCACTTGTACCATGTATATCTTTATCTTCTGCTTTCATGTAAAAAGCCATTTTTCTTTTAGGCTTTCATCTCCCTCTGTCTTCCCTCTCATTTTCTTATCCCTAGGTCTCTCCCTACATTTGTTGAGGACCTCAACACCTAAATCCTAGGAAACGTTAATATTCAAGTAGATGACTCCTTTTTCATCTAGCTTCAGTGTTCTTTGCCTTCCTCAACTCCGAAGACTTTCGTCTCCATTCTCTTCAGTAACCCACTCCCGCAACCCCCAAGTTATGAGTGTGTCATAACTTGAAACTGATCCTCCTCAGTTATGGATAGAATTGTGTCCCCCCAGAACATGTGTTGTAAATCCTAACCCCTATACCTGTGGTTATAATCCCATCTGAGAATGGGTCTTCTTTGTTATGTTAATGAGACAGTATTAGTGTAGGGTGTATTTCAAGACAGTCTCTTTTGAGATATCAGAGAGATTAAACCAGCAAGTGAGCAAGCAGAGATGATGGAAGATAGATGCCACAGCACATGAAGATCACTAGGGAACCAAGGAACAAGGACTTTTCCCCCAGAGCCCACAGAGTAAGAAAGCCTTCCCCTAGAGCTGGCACCCTGAATTCAGACTTCTAGCCTCCTAAACCGTGAGAGAATAATTTCTGTTTGTTAAAGCCACCCACTTGTGGTATTTCTGTTATAACAGCACTAGATGACTGAGACATCCTCTGTAGTTTTCAACACCTGTAGCTTACTCTCTGACCCTCTTCTTCCAGATTTTACACACTCTTGCTCACACTGCACTTGCTTTTTGACTTATAGACTTCTTGTCCCTTCATTTCCACTGGCTTATCAGTCCCCTCTTGATCTAGTTCCTTCCACATACCCACTTGCTTTCCCCCAGTCCTGAAGCAGTCCCACCAATTAATTGCCTTCTTTGCCTCAACATTTGGGCTATTAAAACGTTTCTAGAAAAACTATAGATTAGTATTACTAAAATGTACGGCCTTTATTCTCATCTGGACCTCAGGGCTGATTTGGGTATTCGTGTTCTTGGTCACCATTTTCTTCCATTTCCCACAGTGACTCTTCCACATGTTTGCTATCTTTTACCTGCTTGCCACTCTCTTAGACTGACCATTCTCTGTTGCTTCAAAGAGGAAGTTAAGCTAGTCACGTGAGAAATCTGTCGACTATACTCTAGCCACATTTATCTTTCTTTCAGTTCTTTGAATTCTCTAAAGACTTTTCCAACTTGGGGCCTTTGTACTTGCTATTCCTGCTACGTAAGTGGCTAGCACCCCCCCCCCCCATTAGCCTTTAGTTCTCATCTCAAAGAGATCTATCACCCTACCTAAATTAGCCCCTCTCCCACTCTTTACCAGTTATTCCTTATTTGAGCAACTTGTTTCTCTGCTCATGGCTCTCATTGGTAGTTACCATTGGCTTGTTTATTTTGTATAGTGTAGTGGCTAGAAGTACAGTTTTTGGAGCCAGAATGCCTGAGTTCAAATACTTAATTCCACTTTACTTACTAGCTTTGTGACTATGGACAAAACACTTAACCTCTCTTTGCCTGTAAAATGGAGGCAATAGCAAGTACATAGGCTTATCATAAAGATTTAATGAATTAATCACATGCAGAGTGCTTAGAACAATGCTTGGCAAATACCTTATGAACTCAATGTTGGGTATTATTTGCTATTGTTTAGTGCCTGTTTTTCCCACTACACTGTAAGATTTATAAGGGCACAGACCATATTTACCTTATTAATTAACTATTCTATGTTCAGAACTTGGCAAAGTGGGCCCTCAGAAAATATTGAAGAATGTGTTAAGGCATGAGTGGAAGTTATCCTGATGTAAAAGGGTGGGTGGAAGGACTTTATAGTAAAGGAAAGGGCATGTCAGACCTAGGAGCAGGTGAACAGACCATATTTGGAGTATGAATTGAGCAGTGTTTCTTGGAGGACTCTCTGGATGACTGGTGTCCATCTCTTAGCTATGGGCTGTTTAAACAGTCCATTGGAAACAACCATGAATATAATAATAATGACCAATTTGTGGGGTTTAAGAAAAAGGAAAACCAAAATACTAGACAACAATAGTATCATAGGGGACTTCTGGCAACATGGCACTCTAGGCAGAAGCACGACGCCATCCCTCCTCAGCAAAGATCCGAAAAACTAAGCCAAACAGAGAAAACAGCAATCCTGAAACCCTAAAACATCAAATGAAGAGATAAAGAACTCAGCCAAACACCAAATGGAGTGAGAAACTGACAGAGAATG